TCCTGAGAAAAATGTATAAACTTTAAAAGAAAAACATCTGGGCTTTGCTAAGGCTGTCGGGACTTGCAGTCCGTTTATTCTCAGAACACTGAATGGGGCGGAGCCCCACAGCCAGGCTGTTTTTAAAATGTGACAGGTAGTATGGGGAACTTCTTTCCGCACTGCTGTCGTGGTGAGGACTGGGGAAATGAATAAATAAACAAACAGGGCAGCAGCTGCAGGGCCGGGAACATGTTACTTGTTCCACACTAAAAATGGATGGAACATGTAACATGTTCTCAAAGGTGTACTTATCCTTAAACAAATTTGCCATGTTTCTCTTTTTTTTTTTGCCCAGAGTGGTATAAAAAGAGACCATTGAGCCTCCTAGGTGTTTGCTCCCTAAAAGTCAATGTGACAAAAAGACGATGGTGTAAAGTAAGGCACCATCAAAAATTTTAGAAAGGAATGAAATATATGCCTCAGTTCCAGATCTATGAGATGGGGACCACCAAAGAAGATAGGCACCAAAACATCCTCTGTCAACCTTAGGTGAGACTTCAGCCCTCAGAACAATGCTGCAGAAATCTTCCTAACCCTGACCACAGACATTGATCTAGGAAGCTCCTGATACTCCTAGGTCAACCACTGCATCAACAGCCATGGGGCAAGGGAAAGGGATCTTCGTCAAAATGCTAGGCATTTCAATGACTAGTGGCAGGACAAGCAGAATTACCCAGGAACAAGAGGCAAAGACTACCCCAATCACCTGAAGAATTAAGGCAGGGACTACCTTGTCTGCAGAGACAGGGTCACAGGCCTGGTCAGAACACAAACTTCAACCACTGTAAGGGGGCTGAAGACAGGATAGAATAGGAAACAGAGACCATGCTGAAGGGTGAATTCCCCCAAGTTCCAAACTCATTAGATGAAAAAGGGATGAACTCCGTACCTGCTGATAACTGGGTAAAGATACACAAGGCGAAGATTTTTTTTATCAGATGACAAAGTGGTTGTAAAAGGCTGACTGTTTTTGTTCCTTCATGAACTCTATTCATGAAGGTAAAAAACCTTCTGTTGCTGCTCACACCCCCCCCCCCCCCCCAATACCGGCCTGAGAAGCATCAATCTGTGTACAGGAGCAGCAGCTTTCCCAGGTCTCTCCTGTCCTCATTGGATGAGACAAGCAGCAGAAGCCATTGGCTCCGGAACAAGCACACACGAGTGCCACCAGAGCGAGCAACTTGCTTTGAGAGCACTGAGAAGGGGGGGGAGCGGCCAGGAGCACCAGCTGGGGGCCTGAGAGGAGGGAGACTGGGGCTGCCTTGTGCAAAACCATTGCACAGAGCAGGTAAGTATTAAATGTTTGTTTAAAAAAAAAGAAGAGCCTTTAGTGTTACTTTAAAGCTGGACCATCTCACCCACCATATTTGGTTTCCAATGCTGGAAACCACAAGGTATAAACCAGCCTGATCTAACAAGTCTTAGACCCTTTTGGGAGGTGCTTACTATCAGACTCCATAAAGCTAACACCTAAATGGTATTGGCACACGTTCAATAGTTTTCATCTTACAAAGCAAACATCTCCCACACACTTACCGGTAGATGTGACCTAGGACCCTTCAGAATGCTTCCAGTTAACACAGAATACCTTGAATAATGGGTGTAAGGGTCTAAAAGACCCATGTTTGGAGATAGCAAGATAATCCTCTAAATACAGGGTAGAACATGCTATAATCAAAGTTTGACATGATTTGATGGTTACAGAGACAAGTGGCTTGGCGTAAATCGAAAGGGCTCTGGAAGGTCAGTGATAGACTCTGCAGGGGATGCTGCTGGAGCACAATGGGAGCTTTTGCAGTCAAAGTGCACAAAGAGTTTCGGATAGGGCAAGTGTCTCAAAGCCCCCTCCCCCCAAAATCTGAGGAAAACTAAGATGACAACTCTAGAACAAATTGGGGTTACAAGGTATTAGAGGTGCCCACTCAAGAGGAAAGGGAATAAATGTCCCTAGAACAGGTAGAAGAGCATGGGATGATGTCACCTGTAGAAGCAGAACTGTCTGTGTCCATGTGTTTTCAAGAAGGAAAAAAAAAAAAAAAAAAAAAAAAAAAAAAAAAAAAACCACACTAGACTTTTCTCAGCACAGCATACAAAAAGAAGTTTCATCCTCCTTGGACACTAGCAAAAAACGAGCCATGCTAAAGGCTTAAGTCTCATGCACATTGGCCATTTTTAACGTTGCTGTCTAGCACTTCTAAGCACCCCTGTATGTTAGCCTACGTGTTCATGCATACACACAGTTGGGCTCAAAAGTTTGCATACCCTGGCAGAAATTGTGAAATTTTGTCATTTATATTGCAAATATGACTGATCATGCCAAAAAAAATTATTTTATTTAACTATTGCGATCACACAAAGCTATTTTTTTTTTATCACATAGTAGTTTGGCTCCTTTTTAAATTAAGAACAGAAATCACCAAGATGGCCCTGATCAAAAGTTTGCATTCCCTGGAATGTTTGGCCTTGGTACAGATACACAAGGTGACGCATACAGTACACTCAGGTTAAAATGGCAATTAAAGGTTAAATCTCCCATTTCTAGTGTCTGTTTATAAATAGTCAATGAGTTTGTTAGCTCTCACGTGGTTGCACTGAGCAAGCTAGATAATGAGCCATGAAAAGCAGAAAAGAACTGTCAACAAGGTAATGGAACTTTATTAAGATGGAAAAGGATATAAAAAGGTATCCAAAGCCTTTGGATATGCAAGTCAGTACTGTTCAATCACTTATTAAGAAGTGGAAAATTCAGGGATCTTGATACCAAACCAGGGTGAGGGAGACCAAGAAAGATTGCAACCACAATTGCCAGAAGAATTGTTGGGGATAAAAAGAAAGTATAAAGAATAACCCACAGGTAACCAGCTCAGGAGAAATACAGGCTGCTCTGGAAAAAGATGGTGTGGTTGTTTCAATAATCACAATACGACGATACTTGATCAATGAACTGCATGGTCAAGTTTCCAGAAAGAAGCCTTCACTGCACCAATGCCACCAAAAAGCCCAGTGAAGAGTGTCAAGGTGTTGTCGGGCATTTTGTAACTGGGCTTTTTTGTTGCATTAGCGTAGTAAAAGGCTTCTTTCTGGAAACTCGACGGAGTAACTCATTTTTGTTCAAGTATCGACATATTGGGCTCCTTGGAAAAAAAAAAAAAAAAAAAAAACACCATTTTTTTTCCCCAGAGCAGCCTGTATTTCTCCTCTGGTTACCCATGAGTTTTTCTTTGTATCCTGTACACTTCTTGTGGCAGTTGTGGCTGAATTCTCTGTCTACCTGACCTTGACTTGGTATCAAGAGATCCCCAAATTTTTCACTTAAGTGATTGAACAGTGATTTTTTTTAAGAGCACAATATGATACTTGAACAAAAATGAGTTACTTGGTCAAGTTTCCAGAAAGAAGTCTTTACTAATTGCAATTTAAAAAGCCACAGATGTGGGAAATTAACCTTTACTTGCCATCCTTAAATGTTTTTTGCATGATCATATTTTCAATATACATGACACAATTTCACAATTTGAAGATTTTTTCAGTTTGCCATTATCCAAAACTACTGCGGGCAACAGTATTGCAAGAAAATTCAAGATTTGCAAATGATCTGTCTACATCACTGCATCTACGGATGACGTGGATTTTTACCTAAATGACCTCTACCTATGTACGGTTTTATTATTTGCCCAGGGTGACACACTTACTTACAGGAGTAACCCGTAAATTTACTAGTAATCAGCACTATATAATACAAAGAAAGAAAGAAAAAAAATAAAAAAAAAATATATATAAAATATATATATATATATATATATATATATATATATATATATATATATATATATATATCTTACCTCCTTTTCCTTATGGTAACGTATTAAAAGTAGTTTTGAGTCTGGGACAAAAAGTTTCTCCACAAAAGTCGAGGGTAGTTTAGTATTAATTTGTTCAACAATCTGAAAATCATAAAAAAAAAATTAAAAAATAAATATAATGCAACAAGATTAACAGTGTAAATCAGCCTGATTACCACCACCCGCAAAGTATTCTTACGCTGCCCTTAGTGTACGAAGTTACCTGTAAATATAGGAATGATGCGGTTCATGAGGTTAAGAACGTATTGCGTACTGTATAATGTGTTTACCTGTACCATACATGGACAAGACTTTGTGGTTTTAGTTTTAAAGAAAAATATTAGCGCCGGTTTGCACAGATCTAAATCCTCTTAGAAACTTTCTGGAAGTCTCTAGGAGAACAAGGCATCCTTGTCCACAACTCTCCTTTCGAAGAACTACTTGTCAGGACACCAAACTATGTACATTGGTAATTAGAAGACTTAAGCGGACGATACCATGGTAGCATTTTGTTCAGAATTTTTCATATTAAGAACATTCGTTCAATTTTCTAATCATTTGTGGGGTTAATTTGACATTTTATTTCTACAAGAGTAACAAAAACATTCAAAAGAGCAAGATGAAAATTTTTTTCTTGGATTTCTTACAGTGTACTTGGTTTTTCATTTGGTAAAGTTGTTTCAAGATCAAACGTTAAGTACTTTCAAACATTCATCAAGCCATCGAATGTACTGAGAATTTGTGTACGTATATTTGTACGCACGGTCGTTTGAAAACCTACTAGTGTATATTTAGTATAGTTGGCTAGAAAGTAACTACCGGTATAGATAACAATGAAGATAATAAGGAAATGGCTGGAACATTATCAAAGACAAAGCATACATTAAAATTATTTCTCATACCTGCCAACAAGCCAATAGACCTAGTTGTTAAAATGTTTAAGCTGTTTTTAAGAGTAAGAATTTAAGCACAAGCTTACCAGAGTAAGTAAATGCAGGACTGAGATAATGTAATCTGTACCGGATGCTTGGCAATTCTCCAGCTGGTCTAATCCGTATGCAATTATCATCTCACAGTGAATTGCCATGCTAGGACCATACTGCCAAGCAGCACACCCACACATTCATTGGCAGCTGTCAGTACAGCCTCTGAAGAAAATACCTGATTGGCTGCTGTTACACACCTCATTACACGATATAGTATCTAATGAAAAGAAAAGAGTGTTAAGTACTTCACTTCGAGACGTTTGGGGATGTAAAAAAAATAAAATAAAAATAAAACAAAACATTCATACTCACCTAACTGGATGCTGCATCAGTCCCTGCCCCCTCTAAGACCGAGAATTGAAACGATCAAAGATCGCTGATCTCTCAGTTCTTAGTCTTCAATGAACAGAGAGCCAGTGAGTCACTGGCTCTTTATTATGCCCCTGTAGCAATTACTGGAGTTCCAGGCTGTGGAGAGGGCAAGAGCGGCTGTCTCTGGTTCTCAGCTGTTTGCTAGGAACAGAGCCAGCCTCCAGGCATCTGGGCGGAACCAGACTTTAAAGTCCGGATGCCTTCAGAGCCTGAACCAGCTCAGTGATGTCAGCCAGCAGCAGGCTTTAGCCTGCTGTCAGCTGAAAAAAGGTCATAGGAGTGCAGAACGAAGAGCTTTGGCCCTACTTCTCCTTGAAGATGACTTACACGGATTCATACATTTCTACGGTGTGTAATGCCTTTTCTTTTTATTTAATTTGCGTTTACCACCCCTCCTCATATAGCTTGCTTGACTACATAAATACATCTCCTGGCACTGGTTCACACTGTGTGGAATGGTCACAGGTATCACATCTGTTCTTGCACCCGCAACCACTGGCAGCCAAATCTTGCTGCTCTTACAAGACGTGCAGGGCTGCCATTTATTCTCAATAGCACCCCGCCACAATCCCAGCCCACAGTGTGTTTGCGGGAATCGCAAGGTCAAAAAGACCATGCGATTTCCCTGCGGCCATTCTAAAAATGTGCATGCACTTTTTTTCGCGGAAAAGCAGGCACAGCAGCCCATGAATTGAATGGGCTGCCGTGCCAGCACAAACGCAGGCCGTACAGTCTACACAAGTGTGAACCTAAGCTTAAATACAACACAAATCTCTGTATGCCAATAAGTACTTGAGAAACCTGTAGAGCTCCTTTTAAAAAGGGTATGTAAAAACAAGACGACCCACATTTTACAGCTGCAAATGAATTACCTCACAGATCCTTGAATACACACACTTTTTTTTTTTTTTTTAAACATCTAAAAGAAGGGGTCTCCAAACTTTCTAAACAAAAGGGCCAGTTTACTGTCCTTTGGCATTGGGGGGCCAGACTGTGGCCATTGGGAGCACAAAATGCCCCAGGCTTGGTGGTCAGTAAAAGGAGAAATAACGTTTACATAATTGGTATTGGTAGAAGGTATGGTGCCCCATCATGGATGTCAATGGGAGGAATGGTCCCCCATCATTAGTGTCAATGGGAGGAAGAGTGCCGAATCAAAGGTATTAGTAGGAGGAATTGTGCTTCCAAAAATCTGCAGCAGGACAAAAAGATAGCGAGCTTTGCCAAAAACTGTACAGGGCTGATTTGTATACTTACATCAGTGACATATGCTTCAGTAATGGGAGGTCCTCGAATTGGACTAAATCGCTCCCCAATACTTCGTACCACAGTACTAAACACTCTGAGAAGGGCAGCAAGCTTAGGTAATGAAACTGATGGAGGAGGAATGTCTTCATCCACGGATTCACCAGAAGCTACATTGCCAAGATCCTAATGGGGAAAAAGGAAAAGTAACATTAGACATTTCCATACACATGAGTTTGTAATGTGAGACGGTAGTATTCATAAGCTCTAGATTCTGCAATTTTCCATTATAAACCAATATACGCCAAAACACAAGTCAGCTTAAAGCTGAAGTTTAATTTGCTTATATTTTGCCCTGGTGGCTCCTCTCTAACAAATGTTAACATTTTAAACCCATCATCATGCCCTTTTAGTCACAGTGGTCTCATTACTTAGTCTCTGCGCTTCTCCATGTGGGAGGGACCAGCAGGGTGTTGCACATACTGTAACTTCCTAAAATCCTCACACTGCCCTAGTATTCCTCCCAAGAGCCCTCAGCCTAAATTCAAGCAGTGGGGTGGCTCTTAGCAGGATTTATACAAACATCAAAGTGCCCTGATGGATGCATGACATCAGGAAGGCGTGAGCATTCCTAGGCTATTCCTAGATTCCTTTTGCATCCAGACACCCTAGGTAACGCCCCCGCGTGAACACTGCGAGAAGCAGATTACCTAGGTATGAGAAGTGTAGGGATAACTGAATCAGGAAAAATCTTGTCTTTTAGGATCTAAGCTCCACGGAAAGACCTTTAAAGTCAGCAAATGAGAAGCTGGGGTAAAGTGGTCCTTGAGACAGAAAATCTAGGTGATCTAGAGATCCCACAGGGAGTCCCCAGAAGTCTCTGAGGTTCAAGTACCACAACACTTGCATATGAAGATCTTCACCTTGATCCTGCAGAGCATAGGAGAAAAGAGTTTGAGGAAAAAAGGCAAAGATCATGCTAATCCGATCCCACAGATTCACCAGAACATCCACTGCCGTAGCTAGATGATCCCTGGAACTACAGACAATACCTGCTGAGTTTATTGTTGAAACTGGAAGGAAGGAGGTCCACATCTGGCACAACCCCAGCTGCAACAGAGAACTTGCGAAAAGCAACGTTCCAGACTAAAGAGGGATCTGACAATTAAAAAAAAAAAAAAAGTGCAGCCGTCATTCGGCTATCTGCTGTCGGCAACAAGTTAAAGACCCCACAGCATAATGCTGCCACCACAATGCTTCACTGTTGGGATGGTATTGGGCAGGCGATGAGCGATACTTCATTTCCTCCAGACATAACATTTAGAATTGAGGCCAAACAGTTCAATCTTTGCTTCATCAGACCAGAGAATCGTGTTCCTGACAGTCTTCTTGGGTGCTTTTTTTTTTTTTGCAAACGCCAAGCGGGCTTTTAATGTGTTTTGCATTTAGGAGATGGCATCTGTCCACCCACTCTGCCATAAAAGGTGTAGGGCTGCAGTGATATTTGTCCTTCTGAAACTATGTCCCATTTCCACACAGGATCTCAAGCTCAGAGGGATCATTGGGCTCTTGGTCACCTCTACTGCAAAGGCCCTTCTCCCCAGATTGCTCAGTTTGACCAAACAACAAGCTCTTGGAAAAGTCCTGGTTATGCCAAACGTCTGCCATTTGAGAATTATGGAGGCCACTGTGATCTTGGCAACCTTCAGGTGCAGGAGAATTATTTTTGTAGCCTTCCCCAGAGCTGTGCATTACAATAATCCTGTCTCTGAGCTAGGCAGGCAGTTCCTCATGGCTTTTGCTCTTATACAGTGTGCATAGTCAGCTGTCAGGCCTCATAAAAAAAGAAATGTGTGCCTTTCCAAATCATGTCCAAACAATTTATTTTACCACAGGGGTACTCATAAAAAGGTATAGAAACATCTTAGCAACCATCAAGGAAAATGGGAGGTACCGGAGCTAAATTTCAGGTGTTGTTGCAAAGGTTCTGAATACTTATACGTAATATATTTCAGTTTTTCCTTTTTCATACATTTCTAAAATTCTGTTTTCACTGTGTCATTATGGGGTACTGAATGTAGATTGAGAAAAAAAAAATGTAAGCAACTGTATTAGGCTGACACAATAAAATTGAAAAAAGTGAAGGGGGGCATGAATATTTTATGAATGCACTGTGAGAAGTGTCAAAATTGGCCTGGGAGTCAAGTGGTTAAAAACTAACCCTTACCAAAAGAAAAAGGAGGAAAAGAAAAAAGTCTACAATAAAAAAAACAAAAAAAAACACACACACAGAGAAGCAATGTTTTAAAGTGTGTTATATGTAAGGCATTCTCTTGGGTAGCTGAGAATGCAGTCCCTTACCTCGGCATAGGCTTCCATGTCTTCCAAAAACTGTCCCAGTAGAGTTGTGGAAAATGCCAGATCTGCAACCCAAAATGGTTCTAGACTCTGTAACCATCCTGCAACAGCAAACCAATGATAAGGTCAATTGATAAAACACAGACAAACTGAAACACTTTATACAAAAGTTAAACTGCTAAAGCCCAGCGTAATGAAAAACCATTGGCACTACATATACTTTCTATTTCAGCAATCAAAGTGAGACTCCAGTGTCTCTCAGGTGTTTAAAGTAAAGCAGGGTACACACTGAGTTTTTTTCTTCAACCAGAGCTGAATGAAAAAAAAAAAAAATCAAATACCCGCACCCACACAAGCGGTGTGGATGTACGGAATTTCTCAAACTGCGCCATTTTATTCTGACAGACTAACACCTGAATTCTACTAGTAGTGTTACTACTTTTCTAAAACCTGCAGTTCGCACCATGAAAATGTTGTTCGCGGTTTGATGATCAATTTAAAAACTACATCCAGATGTGAAACGAAGCAAGTATAATACAAACCAAAGCGATTCTCTTAATGAAAAATCAGCTTACCAGACACCTGTTGTGTGAGGGAAGGTTTTTGCGTGTGATCTATATGCCATCCAACCAAAATGTCAACCGTGTCCTGTGCAAATAGAAAACATTTATTCATCACAACCTAATAATTACATAAAGTGATCATTAAAGACTACATAATTAATTTCAGAACCCCTTGATGGGCTTCAAGAAAAAGGATTTTAGCATGAATACATGAATCCCATTTTTTTTCTCCTCTACTGAGTGACAAGTATTTAGATCCAGTGAGGAGGCCCAAAAGCAGTCCAACTGACTGGGAGGTAGGAGAAAAAAGTTAAAAATGCTAGCTGCCTCAAGAAAAAACTTCCTGCAAACCAGATTCTATCTGAAGGATCTATGAACTGGATGAGGATGACCCCCACCCCCTACCAGGAAGGGGAGCTGCCAACACAAAAGGAGTGCATGAAGGGTCAATCTGAAGCTCAAGACCTAGATAGGAGGTGACCATCAGAGAATATGATTCCACACAAAAGGAGAACATCAAACCTGAACCAGGGAGAAGAGGGTCAATCAAAAATCCAGCAATAAAATTGGATTTTTCTCTCAGATCATTGACCACTTGCCCTCTTGAGGATTTACCCCCCCCCCCCCCCCTTCCTGACCAGGGAATTTTTTTGTGATGCGGAGCTGCATTACTTTAACTGACAATTGCGCGGTCATGCAACGCTACACTCAAAGGAAATTTACATCCTTTTTTTCCCACAAATAGAGCTTTCTTTCGGTGGTATTTATTCGCCTGTGCTTTTTATTATTTTTTGTACTATAAACAAGAAAAGACCCGACAATTTTGAGGAAAAATAACAATATTTTTGACATTTTGCTATTAAACATGTCTAGTAAAAAAAATTTTTAAATCAAATTTTGTCATAAATTTAGGCCAAAATGTACTCTGCTACTTGTCTTTGCTAAAAAAAAATCCCAATACGTGTAAATCAACTGGTTTACGTGAAAGTCAGAGTTTACAAATGGCGGCATATATATACTGAAATTTAAAACTTTTTTTTTTAAACTAGTAATGGAGGCGATCAGCAACTTGTAGCAGGACTGCGGCGGACATGCTGACATTGGGGGGAACTGACTTGGTGTCACTGACATCCCCAGTGACACCAATACAGTGATCAGTGCTAATAAAAGCACTGACACTACTAATGGCACTGGGAAGGAAGGGGTTAACATGTGCGGCGATTTAAGGGTTGTGTTGGTCACTGTTTGCTGTGTGTTTGTTTTCCACTGTAAGCACACTGCTTTGTATGGCTCTGCTATGTAGAGTCATACAAAGCAGTGTGCAGGAGCTGACAGGAGAGACCTGTGTTTATTATTGTTTATGGTAAGTGACAGCCGAGGTCGTGAATGGCAGTGCGGAAGAAGAGAGCTGCATGTCTGGGGCATCGGGTAATGGAAGGATATATATATATATATATATATATATATATATATATATATATATATATATATATATATATATATATATATATAGTAGAAGACATTGCGGTTCATGCAGGAGCCCAGGCCAATGATGAAAAAGCACATCTGTCCTAGATCCACCGCACCGCAATCCTGTGGCAGAAGCGTAGAGGGTCCCCAAGGCACAGCGGACGAACATACTGCCCAGGCAGCTCCCCCGCTACATTCTCCAGCAGACCACCTCCACCTTGCCCAACTCTCACTTAGAGTACTGCCAGGCCACCCACTGTCAGATGGAGGCTACATATAGGGAGGCACACAGGCCGCCGGGTCCTCCCATACCTCCCCCTGTCGACCCCTCCACCTCCCACGCTGTGTGCGCACCAGGTGCATTCCGGGGAAAAGAAGGCCAGCTAGCGATATGGCTCGGGCACGGTGGGAAGCAGAAGACCTAACACAAGTCCCCCAGAAAGAAGCTGTTACTCCTTGGACCCTGCTCGGGCATTGAGAGAGGGGAATGCAACTACCAGGGGAGAGGGGAATGCAACTGCCCGGGAAGAGGAGCCCGGACATCCCTGACTATGTCACTCACACCTGGCCTGACAGCAGGATATTGGAATCCTGCCCAGACTACTGCGTGCTCTGGGGGAAAACTACAGAGACCAGCAAAAACCAGTCGAGGAGAGAGAAATCGGCTGCCTGGCGCCTAAAACTGCATGTCCAGGGCATCACGCAATGAGAGTTGCTGGCGGTGAGTGGGCTGGTGTAAACTCATGCAACAGGACGCAATTTCTGGTAGCCATGTGACCTGGCACCTGGAATCTGTCAAGCCTTGGTAGATAGGGCAAGGCTGTCAGCCCACAAAAACTCCAGAGGTGAATGGAATCAAGAAGGCACCTCAGGGAATAGAAGTGAAAAGAAAAATATACTGAATAGGTTCAAAAGGAGCTAAGAGTAATGTTGATTCAGATAGGATCATAAATAGGTTAGGATCCTTCTTGTGAAGTGCATTAATGCCATCCAGATGTGATGGTTGACTCCACAGAAACGAGGTGATCAACAGTCTACTCAGATCTCCCAAGGCTAGGGCTGCATGGCTCAGCTATTAAGGCAGATCATGAAGCAGCACAGTAAAACCAGTCCACGGGACCAGAGAATACTTCAAGAGCCCACAAACTATCCAACAATAGTCTAGTGGGCTGAAGTACCACACCTGCCTGAGCTAATCAAGACCTATGAGGAGGAGAAAGGAAGGTTCTCCATCACAACCCAGCAAAGAAGACAAGTAAGAGGTTGCAAAGAAGGCAAGGCAAAAGGCATAAAATCATGCTATGCAAATCCCTAGATTTACTCCACTGAACCAACAGTGAATCCTGTACCTGGAGACAAAGCACATCAGCCTAGCTTAAAGCCTTGGAATAACGGAACCAAACCCTTTTCTAGGATCTAGGATACTGCAGGCTACTGAGCCAGATAAATCCAATAACCAAGAAGCAGAGTAAAAAAAAAAAAAAAATTCCAGTGAGTTACTTTAGCAGCACCTTTGGTGACTAGAGGGTCCCTGCACCAGGAGGCAAACTTGGCCAGTTTTTTCAGAATCTGGAGTCAAGGAGGTCCACGTCCAATGCTCCTTTCCTGAAACAGAGGATTAGACCACCTGCATGTGAAGAGACCATACTTGAGTCTGGATGCTGTCAAATGGGAGAAACACTGTCCACCAATGAGAAGGAAAGGAGGAGAGGCATGGCTCTTGCTCTGTGTCCTTCTCAAGCTGCCCGAGTGTGCAACGCTCTGAAATGCAGCATATACAGTTTACGTCTTAGTGGAAGCATGCACATAGGGTGACTCCTACAGGAAGGTACACATACAACAGCAATGTAGGCAAGTGGCTGGGAGACAGTTTAAAAAGGCTCAGAGGAAGAAACCTATTAAAAATATCAAATACATGTAGTTTGTATCTGATTTACTGAATATTTGATTTTCATAACAATTTAAGCTGACAAACCTCACCCACAGATGACTAACCAACTCTGGAACCTGACAGAGTCTGATCTGGCCAGATCTTGTAGGTGACAGCTTCCATGTAGGATCCTTGTGTGTCCCACAATGGGAATGCCAGGAAAAAAAAAAAAAAAAAAAAAAGAAGAAGTGCATTAGGCTGAGCAAACAAGACAGCCAAAACTGGTCCTGGTTAACCTTGTAGGTTTGGGAGTTCCTCTAGACAACAGGGGCACCATATACCATAAAGGGCATTTCCTATCCCAAGGTTAGGCAACTTTCCTGAGATAAAAAAACAAATAAAAAAATAAATAAAGTGGAGGTCTAGATGGGGCACAACTCCAGACAGTTAATCGCATAGGCTGGAACATGGGTTTCAGGGGTGTGAGGAACCCAGAAGACTGGCAAAGGTGGTTCTAAAGGCTCAAGGTTTTTTTTTTTTATCTTCACGTATTCTATGCATGAAGGTAAAAAAAACAGTGTTCAGCAGGCTACCCAGCACCTCCCCCCCATGCTTACCTGAGCTCCCCCCTCTGATCAGCAACAGGGCTCCTCCTCTTCATTGGCAGAGACAGCAGCTGTGGGCACTGCTTGAGGGGCAATGGGTGCTCTATGCATCTGAATGCTGGAAAGGCAAATTACATAATGATGCACCAGGATTCACAATCATCCCTCACTTGCAGAAGCGGCAGCACAGATTCATGCAGAAGGCTTTTCAGAGGATTTGGCCTCCAACTTCAGCTGTCTAGGAATCAGGTTCTGAGGGCCTGCAGGCACTTATTGCAGAAGTAGATAAAAAGTGGGATTCAGCTGAGCTCTTTAAACCTCCTGCATTGAGACATCAGTACGCTCTGGCCTCCCATGGTATTCCTGATCAAGATATCAAGAACAGAGCCAAAGATGTACAAGCGAGTCAGATGTAATTTAATTTAGATGTGGCATCAGCGTCCCAACATCTGTACATCTTTGTAGACATTAGACCAGGTGGGATATAAGTTTGGGTGCTTTAACAAGCCATCATAACTGAAGCCATTTGTTCAACATTCTCAATTTTCAGGGATCTAACTCACTCTGCCACAGCCTGACAGATTAGAGGTCACTACCAATACAGGATGGAGGGCAGCACCAGCTGGATCAAACTGGGATTAAGCCCTGGTTCACACTGATGCGGTCCGGAATTCACAGCGTTTTCTATGCGAATTCCGCACCACATCAGAATCGCACCCCGATCATGCGCATCGCTGCGGGTGTTTATGTTAAGCTAACAATACAACGAAAGCAGAGCGCAAAACGAGGAACACCCATGCAAGCCGATTCTAGTGCAGACCAAAAAAAAAGGGTCCTGCACGTTTTTGGTGCAGGTGTGGTGTGATTAGAGCCATACAAAATGTATGGCTCCAATCGCACCACACACAAATCGCATGTGATTTACACAGAAATGCAGTGCGGTTCTGAGCGAATCACATGCGATATACCGCACATATGTGAACCCAGACTTAAGGATAGATTCCAGCTACCACTCAGAATTCTTAAAAAAGGTAAGTCCCCCAACTACCTGTCTGTTTCGAATTAAAGGTGGGTCAGTGGTAGATCTAGAATGCATACAGATCACCATTTAACTAATGCTCAAAGAGAGCAGTTCCAATG